TGCGATTCCGGGATGTACCCAAGAAATACACGTGCGTCAACGAAGCCCTACTGTATGACTCCAGTGTGGAAGGGGCATTTTGGGATCTAAACGATTTCCTGGTGACGTGCGTACTTGAAGGAATAACCCTCAAGCATGAGAAATTCAAGAGGTTGACTTCGTGGGGTTTCACCTTGGTTGGGACTCCTACAATCTCACCTACGACCGCCTATCTGCCATTAAGGACTTCCCCATGCCCGCCCAGCCCCCATCATGGAACCCTTCAGGGAGCTCCTCGAGAATCCCTCTGGGAAAAAGATGTACTGGGATGACCAGCTGCAGACCAAGTTCTGTCAGGCTCAAGACACCATCTGCTAGTTGGCCAGAGATGGGCCAGTTTATTATGATAAGACCAGACCCACGGCCGCCGTCACCGACTGGATCAAGGAAGGAATCGGTTTTGCCATCCTCTGCAGCACTGCACCTGCTCCTCCATCAACACGCCATTCTGCTGCAAAAGTGGGTGGCGTCTCGCTCTTTGTGGCGGCTGCCACCTTATCCCCACCGAGACAGGCTACGCTGCTGTGGAGGGGGAGGTGCTGGCAGTAGTATGGTACCTTGAAATGGCCCGGTTGTTTCTGCCTGGGTGCCCCAACTTAACCCTCGTCACAGACCACAGTTCTCTCATCAAGCTTCTGGGGGAGAGGGCACTTACAGATATCATCAACCCCAGACCCTAGGCTCTTATGGTTTAAGGAAAAGACCCTACAATATAAGCTTGAAGTTAAGTATCTGCCCGGGAAGAGAAACTGTGCTGCCAAATTCCTGCCGTACTACCCCACCCTCCAGACATTCCCTGACATCCTCAATGCTGACCACGATGAGGACATGCTGGTGGCCATGGCCTGCATAGCTGTCGCTACACTGGACATGGATAGACTCGTCATGGATGAGGAGACAGTCAGGAAAACAGCTGCTGCTGACCCATTTTATCAGCTGTTGGTGGCGAGGGTCCTAGCTGACGACTGGCACTCTCACAAGTCTCAAGAAATTGGCTGCCTCCAGCCATTCTACAATTTCAGGGAGAGGCTAGCCGTAACCCAGGGTCTGCTCACCTATACCTTTGACCTGGGCAGTGTTCGCCTGGTCATCCCCGAGGCCCTACACCACCAATTAGCAGCCAACCAACATGCTGGCCACTAAGGACTGGACTCCATGCTATGGGGGATCAGGCAGTCAGTTTAATGGCCCAGCTTGGAAGACAACCTTCAGTTCCACATGTCTTCTTGTTCTTCCTGTGACATACATGCCACATCGCTACCACCTGAAGCCCTGGTTCTCACACCATTCCCGGACTGTCTTTCCATCATATGGTGGTCGACATGTTTCAGCTTGAGGGGCACATGTACATGGCCTATGCTGATAGGTTAACTGGTTGGCTACAGGTGGCCCATTTCCTCAATGGTACCACTTCTGCCAGGATTATGTCCCAGCTCAGGAACTTCTTTACCAGGTGGGAGGTCCCTGAACAGGTCTCCACCGACAGAGGCACTAATCTTGTGAGTCAAGAGATGACCAGCTTCTTCAGGCGATGGGACGTGTCAGTATGTCTGTTCTCTGCTCAGTACCCCCAGTCCAACGGCAGAGCGGAAGTGACTGTCAAAACTGCCAAACACCGGTTGGGGGGACAGGGGGGACAGGGGGAGCCTCAATACAAACAAGGCGTCCATGGCCATCCTACAGTATTTAAACACCCCACTTCAAGAGATGAACAAATCCCCAACTCAATTGGCCACAGGGAGGCAATTACGTGTTAGGGTACCCTCAACCAGGCAGCACTACAGTATAAGGTGGACAAGCACTGGCGTTAGACCCTCCGCAACCAGGAGCTTCAGTTGGCCAGCAAGCAACAATCTACTCTTCGTCAGGGCACCACCAGGAGGCTGGCACCTCTGATGCCAGGTGCCCCGGTCTGGGCATAGAACCAAGCTTCCAACCTGTGGGACAGGACGGGAGTCATGACAGAAGCTTTGCCACACCGCCAGTACATACTTAAGTTAGACGGGAGTGGGCACTTGTCAATCAGAAACAGAAAGCACCTGCGGGTCATTGACCTACTATCGCCTAACACTCCTGCATCCCAGTCGGCTGCCACAATGCCGCCTCCCCAGTCTTCCCCAGTACCGTCTCAGCTGTCGTCACTCCCCCATCACTGACGGCTGGTTGTCCCAGAAGAAAGATCTCACAGCCTACTTGGCTGGCTGACTGTGTTCAGTGAGATATTCTATAATTTTTTCTTTTCGAAATGTACATGTGTTCTTGTCCTGCCCATGTATATACATATAGGTTTATTCTCTGGTAGTACCATAATGTACTGTATATTACCTGAATTTCAGATGTGGGTACTGTATACACCCATTTTCGTGGGGGGAGATGTGGGATGTCCCATAATGTATATTACCTGACATTATTATTTTCTATTTCTGCTGCCGTACGAGATGTTCGACAGCTGCCCGGCAGCCAAGGGCGAGACGTCAGACGTCCGTTATGAGAGTCAGTTGTATTCCGGTCTCTAGGCAATAAACATAACGCTTGCCACTCGACTATCCTTCCTCCCAGACATCGTACAGATAAGGAAAGAGAAAAGTGAATTCAACACACCATTACCTACCGTTGTCAACTATAATTATTAAAGTTTCTTTGTCAGTGTATTTCTAGTATAAAATGCTGTGATTGATGTTCAATCCATACACAACAAGGGCAGTGTTGGTACAAATTAATGATATGAAGTTATACTTTTTAGGTTAAAATGATTGCTGATCAATATATCATGGATGTTGTGATTTAGAACTATTGTTGTAAAGGGTATATTTATAGTGATTTGGAAGTAATGCGAAAATGGAGGCCATAAAATAGAGAATTCATTGTTCGAATAATTTATAGCCCTGAGTCAGGCAGCTCTTGTAATATGAGCTGATTACTAAGAGATTGCATGCTCTCAGATAGCCTCCCATTCTGTCAGCCAAGGTTGATCTGTTAATCCATTCTGAATATAAAGAACATCTATTACATGGATCCCTGGCTTCAAATAATTTTTTGTGTTTTTTTACAAAAGGTTCCAGGATAATGCCAAAGATTTAAGAACTCTCTCTCTCTCTCTCTCTCTCTCTCTCTCTCTCTCTCTCTCTCTCTCTCTCTCTCTCTCTCTCTCTCTCTCTCTCTCTCTCTCTCTCTCTCTCTCTCTCTCTCTCTCTCTCTCTCTCTCTCTCTCTCTCTCTCTCTCTCTCTCTCTCTCTCTCTCTCTCTCTCTCTCTCTCTCTCTCTCTCTCTCTCTCTCTCTCTCTCTCTCTCTCTCTCTCTCTCTCTCTCTCTCTCTCTCTCTCTCTCTCTCTCTCTCTCTCTCTCTCTCTCTCTCTCTCTCTCTCTCTCTCTCTCTCTCTCTCTCTCTCTCTCTCTCTCTCTCTCTCTCTCTCTCTCTCTCTCTCTCTCTCTCTCTCTCTCTCTCTCTCTCTCTCTCTCTCTCTCTCTCTCTCTCTCTCTCTCTCTCTCTCTCTCTCTCTCTCTCTCTCTCTCTCTCTCTCTCTCTCTCTCTCTCTCTCTCTCTCTCTCTCTCTCTCTCTCTCTCTCTCTCTCTCTCTCTCTCTCTCTCTCTCTCTCTCTCTCTCTCTCTCTCTCTCTCTCTCTCTCTCTCTCTCTCTCTCTCTCTCTCTCTCTCTCTCTCTCTCTCTCTCTCTCTCTCTCTCTCTCTCTCTCTCTCTCTCTCTCTCTCTCTCTCTCTCTCTCTCTCTCTCTCTCTCTCTCTCTCTCTCTCTCTCTCTCTCTCTCTCTCTCTCTCTCTCTCTCTCTCTCTCTCTCTCTCTCTCTCTCTCTCTCTCTCTCTCTCTCTCTCTCTCTCTCTCTCTCTCTCTCTCTCTCTCTCTCTCTCTCTCTCTCTCTCTCTCTCTCTCTCTCTCTCTCTCTCTCTCTCTCTCTCTCTCTCTCTCTCTCTCTCTCTCTCTCTCTCTCTCTCTCTCTCTCTCTCTCTCTCTCTCTCTCTCTCTCTCTCTCTCTCTCTCTCTCTCTCTCTCTCTCTCTCTCTCACATCTAACTAGTTGTTTGGGCAATCTGTTCTTCTTTACTTTGATGTGAACTTTGTGGTTTAGTGATTAGAGAGCTGCCCTTAAGCTGCCTAGTTTAACCCCTTGTGTATGGGGATCTCTTTGCTAAATAAAATCAGCTGGTGTTGGCCAAATAACATATTAAAAGGGGTGTCCCTGTAGTGAAGGGTTTAAGGGCATATACTAGAAATTAAGGAGCAATTCTAAAATTTTATTTTCTAAGGAAGCCCTATAGTGAAGCAGCTTGGGAACTCCACTTTTCCCTTGGATCTTTGATTCATCAATTGTAATTTAATTAAATATGATATGTTATGATCTGATTGGCTAGGCACAATTCTAAGACCACCTGCCTCCAGAGACAACTGTTGCACTAATTTCCCCTCACTTGAAGTAGATGGTATGATAGGGAAAAAAGAGTGATCTGCATATCTGAAATTAATTAACAGGTCAATCCTACTAAACATAATAGAGGATTGTGTTAGAACATGGAACCCTCCATAAAGCAACCACAATATTAGAGCATATGCAAGAAAATTCACTTGCCAGTAATATTAGCCTGCTGCCAGTTTACAATAACCCCGTTGATATGAAAATGGTAACAACTCTGACATCTGGCCTTACTGTTCTGATACTTATCCTATTCTCCCTTAAATATGGCTATTAGTAATAAATTAAATTAAAGCAATGACTGAGAGTCTTAAGAATGGTTGAGAAAATTAGGAACCTTCTTGGTTATCTATCCCCATAAAATCCAACTTGTTAAATTGAAGCTCATCAGCCTGTAGGTAGTTGGTCAAAATAATGAATTGAAGTGATTGTTGCACTCAGGGGTGATTGGAAAACAGGTGAATGGCAAACCTGGAAAGTTAAGGAAGTAGATTTATGAATATCAGTAATGTGGTATGAGATGGTGATGATACTAACCTTTACTAACGTGACATTCTTCCCACTAGGCTGCACCAGGGTGGTCACTGGACCTGGGGGACCGGCTGCACCTCTGTCACCTGTTTCACCTTTGGGCCCATGGGGTCCTTTGTCTCCTTTGTGGCCCTTAATCCCTGGTTCTCCTTTTATTCCCTGAATAAGAGGAAAGAAACTGAGCCTGCAAAGTCTTATACTATGGCTTCAAATGGGTGAATATATAACTCTGAAAACATTTTCCACACATTGCAGTAGCCAGTATAGCCAACAAGCTTGTGCGACATGATAATGTTAACACTCTTGGTCAACACACTGATGTAAGGTGAATGAATAAGCTGCTTAAAAAAATCAGGTGGCGTGTCATAGTATGAGTGACATGTGTGTTTTTTAAATGAGTATTTTTTTACCAGAAATCCCTAAAAACCTGTTCTTATAAGTATCTACTGTGTATATGGTTTATCAGGCATGGGGATATCTGGCTGACCTGTGAGAGCTTTTGTCTGTAATAGTCTCTGTCAACATTCAGACAGTAGCACTTATATAAATGTAGGCTAATTACATGTATCAATTATATAGCTAGCATTACCTGAATTAATTAGATAAAGGGCAACAAAGCATAGCTTATCACTTCCTTCTTACATGCTAGATAACATTCTCATGTCCTTCATACACCTATAATTTACACGGCTCAGCACAAAGTGACCGGCCCTCAGCAGAATACACCCCTGTACCTCAGACACCACAGTTGTGTTAAAGGAGCTCTGTAAATAACCTTCTATATTCTCTCGTTTAGCTGTGCCCACCACTGGGTATCATGTATTACACTCGACAGTCACTCACTCTCACAGCAATGAAAAAATCTATCATGATCTTGTTTACCAACACCTGATACACTGTCACACACTATGGGGGCCTCTGGCTCTTCAAAAACACAATCCCTGGTTCTGCACAAAAGAGAGTTGTACGGACAATGACCTACTTGAAAAAAACAGATCACACAAACGAAAAATTTGCTGAATTGAAAATGTTAAAATTCCAAGATATTAACACCTACTGCTGTGCCCTCTTTGTTTACAAATCTATCAATCACTTGCTTGACAATAAATATTTCCAGTCCCGGAATAATTAGAGATACAACTTAAGGCACCCAGAGCTACTAAGACCACCGCCCATGCGCTCCTCTCAGTCCCAGACCTCAATAAAATATCACCCCCACCCATCATAGCAAAGACTATGCTCCCTTCCTTTAAATCATCTCTTAAAAAATATCTATTGTCTAAGTATTAATACTGTATTTCTTGTAATACCTACTATATTTACAGTACCTGTTTTTATTGTACCATCAAAACCGTTTTATCGGAAATTATCATGTAAATAGATAAGAAATTACCATTGCAATAAACATATTTGCCAACTAGACATAATCCTGACAGCTCTGTCCTCTTGTTCAACGTTAATACTGTACAACCCATGTTGTACTGCTCCCCCATTATGCTTATGTTTTTCAATTCCACTAAAAAAATATAATAAATAAATTAAATAAATAAATATTGAAGTGATAACCGTGGTAACATTATGAGATGTTCTTATTACCACCATGCTTTTGTACTATTCCAGATGTTACTAAATGCTACATAATACTTCCTTGAGATAAATGTATAGTATATATCAAGTGCCTAAAAGAGAGCTCAGGTTCTCAACTGGCTCAGCCATGTTATTATTACCACTTTGTATCTGTGTTTTTCTGACTAAATAAACTGTTTCAATTCGAATTCAATTCAAGACCTTAGAGCCAGCCAGGTGAGGGTACAGGGAGACGATGTTTTGAAGAATTCAAGTGGTGTAAAATTAAACCAAACGGGGGAGACTTACTTATTGTCAGGTGTATCTACAGTACAGATCCCCAAACTGTAACTTACTAAACCAATGGAACTTAAGAGCCTTAATAGACAATGCAACAATGCTCAACCCTAGCCACCTCCTTATCATGGGGGACTTTAACTATGGCAACATCGACTGGAGAAATGAGTCCACGCCAAATGACATAATAATCCCGCTACTCTTTTTGTAGAAACTCTGAGAGATAATTTTCTGTTCGAACATGTTTAGGACCCAATGCATTACAGAGGAGAGCAAGCAGCCAAGCCACTGGACCTCATCATAACAAACGAGGAGGGTATGGTGGCCCAGCCACCATGTAATGTTGTCCTTCAGATTTAACTGTTATTTGGTTGATGACAAAACCAGGCCAAGGTGCAAATATTACAAGGGAAATTACGACGGGATTAGGGAGACGATGAGGGCCTGAGTCACTACGGCATAAGAACGCAGACACTATGCTGAATATGATAGCCAGTAAAGTGAACCATATGATCGAGAAATATATACCCAAGACCAAGCCCAGTGCCTCTAGGAATACAATGAGACCCCCTACATATGAACCCTGCAGCAGTCGACAAGTTATGAAGAAAACCCAGAAATTCAAGGTGTGGGTTAGGTCAAACATTGAGCAGGACAAGAGGATGTATGCAAGAGCCAGGAACCAAGCAAAGGAGTTCCAGAGGCTCGTTGCAAGTGAGGACGAGTCAAACCCAAAGGCATTCTACCGCTATGCAAAGTCAAAATTAAAAACACGAGTCGGAGTATCGGACCTGAGGCTTGAAGATTGTAGTTACGCAGATTTTGGCCAGGACACTGTGGAGGTATTGAACGTTTTCTTTTCTTCAGTGTTCACAAGGAAAGATGAGAACAATCTTCCTGCATTTGAGGACAGACGGTTCGACACAGCACTGACCTACATTGTGTTCACACAAGAGGTTATAAGAAATAAACTGTCAAAGCTAAAGGTTCATAAGAGTCCCGGCCCTTACATGGTACATCCCAGAGTGCTAAGAGAGTTGTGTAACGAGCTTGCTGTGCCCCTGAAGATCCTGGATGAGCAAAAGGTCCCCAGTGATTGGAAAATGTCTTATATGAGTCCTATGTTCAAGAAGGGCGACCATCACTCCACGAATAACTATAGACCAGTGAGCCTGACCAAAACAGTATATAAAGTACTTGAGAGCATTATAAAAGATGCCATGATGGAACATCTACTACAAAACAACCATGTAAAGGATTGTCAACATGGTTTTATGCCAGGATGCTCCTGTCTGATACAATTACTCAAGGTACTGGATATTTGGACCCAAATTCTGGAACAGGGTGGTAATATCGACAATATATACTTAAGATTTTGTCAAGGCTTTCGACAGCTTATCCCATGAAAGGCTGAAAATTAAACTGGAACGGTACAGGATTCGGGGAAGTGTCCTAGAGTGGATCGGAGCCTTCTCCACAATCGCAAGCAATGTGTGGTGATTAATGGCACAAAATCGTCGTGTGTACCCGTCACAAGCGGGGTACCACGGGGCAGTGTATTGGGACCACTGTTGTTTGTTTGCTTCATAAATGACATGTCAGAAGCTGTACATTCCTCCACAGAAATGTTTGCGGATGATGCCAAGATATTTCGGGAAATTAAGAACCAAGCAGATTGTGAAGAACTGCAGAAGGATCTCTGTGAACATCAAGAATGGTCGAAAAATGTCTGCTAAGATTTAATATGTCACAAAATGTAAGAGGCTGCACCCGGGACGTACCAATGATAAGGAGGCGTATCATATGTCCCAATGGGACGAAGAAACTGCATTAATTGACACCGTGGTGTGAATGTTGACAATAAACTGAAGTTCTCGGGCCATTGTGAGAAGAAGGTGAATCAGGCAACTATATTATTAGGTCTCATAAGAAGGTCGTTCAGATATCTAGACAGTCCGTCCCTCGTAACGATCTTCAAGAGTGGGGTGCTTCCTCGTCTGGAGCACTGTCACCCTATCTGGTCCCCGAAATATGCTAGAGACTGTCAGTTGATTGAAAATGTCCAAAGGAGGGCCACCGAGCTGGTGCCAGGTGGGTGGGCTCACTGTGCTCGCCATGTTCCTCTATCCACAACTTCTTGGACCCTCCCTCCTCCTTTGATATTCCTGGATCAGTCCCAGGAGAAATGTAATTGGTTTACTGATGTTTGTAATTGGAGTATTATTACCCTGTTTGGTCCCCAAGATATGCTAGACACTGTCAGTTGATTGAAAATGTCCAAAGGAGAGCCACCAGACTGGTGTCTGCACTACTGGTTATTTAATTTGAAGTTATAAACATCCCAGAGGACATTACAGTGAAGTCTTATTTTGCATGGTTATATCGTACTGGTACACATCCACGCATCAGAAATCTACGCAAGCGATGTCCTTTAACATGTGTTAAAATCGCTATATTGTATTCGACTTGCCAGACCTTTACTTTAAAACAACTTTGGGTAACCAACTTAACCTTCCCAAAATGACACGTAATGTCACATAAACATCTACATCATTAAATAAATATTTTAAGAAAGCCCAGGAAGTTAATTATGTGATACTCCAACGTCTCCACTGAAAAGTGGAGGTTGGGGAAGCTCTGGGAGATGATGGAGGTCCGAGGCAGGGGTGTCAGATTCAAAGCCTTCAAAATCAACTGCAGACAATGTCTCGTATAATGACTTCAGCTCCATCACTAATCTGCAAAGCGGCAGGGTCAATCATCACTGGATTCTCCTTGAATTGTTGTGACGTAAAATGGGAAGTGATGAGAGCTTGGCAGCAGCATTTAAACTCCTGGCAATATTGCCTGTAGGGTCCTTCGGTCTGCTCTGGTACCACCACACCACCAACACTGATTTTTGCTTGTCATTTTATTTTGAAGTAAAATTATATATTGTAATTTTGTTCTATTATTTAATACTGTATGTTATATTATTTATGATGAAATGTATAAAATAATTAACTGATCATATGAGAATATAATAATGAATAAATAAAATCATTGGTGAATGAGACAACAGCCAGGCCTATACACTCAGATACAAGGGGAATAGACAAGTGACCCAAGGAAGGGGAGGAAGTGACTGTTTCAACCGTCCCTCCCCCCACCACACCCTGTCTCTCCCCCACTCCATAGTTGTTTAAGTTAATAAGAAGAAGACTAAGAGTGAAGATAAAAGAAATCGCATAAAGAAATAAAAAGAAAGACAGAGAAAAATAAATAGAGTAATTTAATAATAAATAGAAAATAGACAT